TAGTTTTCTCTTCCTCTTCTCTACAGCAGCGCAGCATGGCCTCGCCCCCTTTGCTGCCTTTTCCCGAGGGCGGGGTTTATCTGGGTTCGTGATGTAACGGACCTGGGAAGAAGCTCGTTGTAGTCCCTTACTAGCCGTTTTTGTAGGCATTAAACTGCCAGAATTTTAAAAGACGATATCTCCCGTTTGCATTGAATTTTCAGCGCTGCAACTTTGCAGATATTGTTTATGCTCAAACAGCAACATTACACACTAACTAACGTTAAAAAAGTGAAATCGCAATCAACCACCCCTTTAAACGGTTGCTCTTACTCTAAATCAACTACATTCTTGACCACATGGCTCTTGATGCACTTTAACCTCTGCTAGACCTTTTTTGAAGAAGCTTGAAAGGAACATTTTTGGACAGTTATTGTAGGTTTATGTGAATCATAGCGTTACAGTTTATTTTGTATCATCCTTCAATAATTATTACAATGGTTTGCCATGTGTTTGTAGGCTAGGCTAGTTCATCCTTTTTGTGGTATAGAATTAACCTTTTTCCTTCTGTAACCAGAAGATGGCGCCAGAATATCATCATATCTGAGATTTTTTAGGTAAGATAAAAGTAATTTAGAGAGGACAGAATAATGTAAGGGTAAAAGTGTGTATGAATGAGTGAATAAATGAATGAATGAATGAATGAATAAATAAATAGCCACCAATTATTTTAAAATGTAAATAACGTGTGCAATAGACTAATATATAAGTAATAATAACAATATAGTAATATAATGTGTAGTGCGTAACGTAATAATAATAATAATAATGAATGCGTATATGTTGTTTTGTGGATTTTTTTTAGGTTCATGTGTTTACATTTTAGTCCAATTTTGAACATCTTCGTTTCTGTGTCCCCCCCCCCCTAAATTTAATCTAATACGTTTGTTGGAAACTCAAATATATCTCCAAAAGTGAGACAGCACTAGCTGAATTTGTCATAATTGCCTTTTTTTTAAAAACACGAGACAGTTTATGAGATAGTAACTAATCTCAGGTAAGATATCCACGGTTGTGAATGATTATCATGATGGTATTTACATGGTACGTACTTCCAATATTACCATCGTGTTTCAATTATATATTTGTAGTGTTTTCGTGTACTATTATTGTTTAGACACTCCGTTAGTTGTAAAATATATTTACTTGTAGTACAGAGTCGTTCACAAGCTGTAGCCTTCGTCATTCATACCCGTGCACGTGCGGAATTTAAAAACCTTTATCGCTGCCAAACGATAGAATACATTTGCGGTTTGTCTGAATGGATTGTAGGGAAATATTCCCTTCACAGCCCGTTTATTATGCCCTCCGACTTCACCTGTTTTCTCACATTTTTACTGAGGAGAAACCGCGCATGTCCGAGTGAGGCTCGATAAGCCTGTGCAACATCGACCTCAAGATGGCGCCACGACATCAAAACTTTCCTGCAAGTGAGTTAACATGACAACTAGTAACAACAGCTGCAGTATACTGAAATGTGATGACACATACTATACATCTAAAACAATTAAAAACAGTGTTTGATTCATTTGTTGGAATTCATTCTTTAATAAATGTAATAAAACATATAAGTAAAAAACAAAAAAATTATATACATGTTCTAAATATTAATTACATGCATGCAACTACATTACATACTTGCAGCTACACATAAAGTTTAACTTAAAAATACTGAAGCCGAAATAACAAAATGTTATTTGTCAACAAAATGCGCTGTTCAGTGTATGTGCAATAAGTTTCCTGTTTGCATTGAGCCTCCCCAACCCCTCCACCCACAGGACTTTCGAAAATCTGTTCTGTCTTTGCTTGTGCTGCAGCTCAACTGACCTTTTATCGTCAAATCATTATCAGTGAGACTGTGGTGAAGCAAGCCAGTTAGTTTATCTCTCTGATCTGAAAGCGGATGTGAGATTGTGAGGTTGTAGCCTATTAATAATTGCCACAAACATTTACTGTATGTAGCTACTGTATATGATTTTACTGGTAAACAACATAGAAACACAGAAAAGTGCTGCACTGCAGGTTTGAATGAAACGGTTACATTTACATTTTAGCAGAAATACATTATAGTTCATATATATTTTTGTAGATAGTGCACATTCATGGTGACCATGCTGACTTTACCAAGCATACAGCAGATTTTTTTGTTGCTCGAGTGACTTGTGTGTGATTACACTGTGTTATTATCCCGTTTTACTTGGCATTTTGACCTTTTGTATTTCTCCCAGTACATGAAGGGGGAAGTTTAACAAAGACTCCATTTTAGCTTGCTTTTGAATTATCTAAAGAATGTTTTGTTTCCACACTCTCAGAAAAAAAGGTACAAAGCTTTCACTGAGGGCGGTACAATTAGGTACAAAAGCTAAAATGAACATCTTTGTATTCTATTCACCCTTGAATGCTACATAATAGCTTAAAGGTACATATTGGCACTTTAAATGTACCAAAAGTGTACATATTAGTACCCTTTGAAAGGGTAGCATCCCAGTGACAGTTTGGTATCTTTTGAAAACCAAAAATTGTAGTAATCAAATGCAAACTTTGAAGTCTGAATCCTAATTTGACTGGTTCGCGTTTGACCACACGTCAAAACATCATCAACCCCCAAAGCAGAGTTTGCTCCTCTTAAATATCTGCATGTAAATGCAATTCACTTACTGACACCTCCCACTGTTTCCTGTCACTAACAAGTGGAACTAAAAAAAAAGGTAGCACACAGGAAAAAAATCATTACAGAGCCATTTCACATTTCGACACAGCACTTCTCTTTATTTCACCTTTATCTTTGGAAAAATGCCACACAACAACACAGATAACTGCAGCACATCTCATTTCAGATATCCACTTTTCACTTCCACCTACAGCATCGTTTTGCTGTTCGGTCTTCCTTTGAACTCTGTGTCTCTTTGGATACTGGTTTGTCGGAATGGCTTGAGGAAATCCGTTCCGGTGATCTACATGGCCAACCTGGCCTTATCGGACCTACTTTTCACACTTTCCCTGCCCTTTCGGATTATCTACTTCGCCACAGGTGAATGGAAGCTGGGAAACACTCTATGCATGATTCCAGGGACCCTCTTTGCTGTCAACATCTACTCCAGCTCCTTGTTCATCACACTCATCAGTGTGGACCGGATGCTGGCCGTGGTGTATCCACTGAGATCTCGACATTTGCGGACGGTACCGATGGCCTGGGTGTTTTGTGTGATCGTGTGGCTGATCATCGCTGGATTGGCAGTGCCAACAGCCTTAAACCACCCTGAAAATAAGGACCCAGAGTGTAACGTTACACGCTGTTTTGAGAAATACACAGATGAAGAATGGATTATGGGTTTCACAATCCTCTGCTGTGTCACTTTCTTTGGTATTTTAATACCTTTCTGTATTATTCTGGGCTGTACGGTGGCAGTCGTGCGGCAGCTGAAAGGCTACAGCATGGCGACTTCCTCGTGCAGCACCGAGCTGAGTAAAAGCAAGATTGTGAAGCTCTTTCTGTCCAATTTGCTCATCTATGCCATTTGTTTTATCCCATTTCACACTGCTTTCATCCTCTTTGGCTTGCGCAAACTTCACATCTTGCATGGAGGTAATACTCTTGAAATTTACTTTAACCTACAGACTGTTACCATGTGCATGGCCAGCACAAACAGCTGTCTGGACCCTTTGATCTACTATTTCAGCTCAAAGAATATTCAAGGTAGAGCCAGATGTGACTCTTCATCCAAAACCGTCGGTCTCGGCCTGGTCCAGAGCATGAGTTGGAATGGACAGTAAAGCACCATCCATCATAATCACTTGCGTCGTTGAGGTAAAGAAGTTCTTTGTCTGAAAGGAAATGGTTATGTAAAAAAAAACCCCAGGTCTTAAACCAAAAGCTGACTCACGCACGAGAACGTTGCACATCTCTGCTCGTGTGCATCGCGGGAAAAGGTTGCAACTCTGTTTACCTCGTTCAGGCGTCCTAAAGCAGGTCAAAAGGGAAGAAGACACCAAACGTTGAGCCAGTGATTCATTACCTGACAATGTGATATAAATACTTTAATTTGTTCTGCAAAACTTGCATTGTTGCAAATCATCAACTAAGCTGTTTACGTGTGCATTTGCTTATCACTGAGAACCAAGGGCAGTAGCTACTGTAGAAATGTTGGCCCCTCTGGTTGTATATTGCTATGTTTTGCTGCATTTCTACCAGCATTACAGTTGAAAAAGTGTTCAGTTTGTCTTTTTTTGTGTCATTGAGCTATACATTTGAACTGCATTTTTATTTCCCCAGGATTGCACTGAAGTTTCGCATAGTAATATGCACTTTTACTTTTGTGTCATGCATTATATTGGTCGAAATAAACCAAGCATACTTCTGCCAATCTATCACTTTTATCTTCTCGAATAAGATCTGCATTGTGATGATGACATATTTGACTTCAACTGAGGTGTGAAAAAGTGAGAAACGGTTCACATGGTTGCACGAAGCTCACAGACTGGCATAAGGAAGTGAAAGTTGAAGTTTCGAATCAACTGTTGAAGTCCACACCACGCCCTGCTGAAAAAAAACAATAGACACAATCACAAAATTTGTAGTGGTTTTACTGGTTATAATGGGACTTGTATTGGTTTTAATGGAAACTGTAATGGACCCTGTGGGTCTCTACTGGTAATTGGTCACCTTTGTTGGTGGCATGTTAAAACCAATACATCCCAATGGAATATGTCCTAAAACACACTACAGAAAACCATTTTTTAATGGTTAAAAGTTGATGGTTTGTAATGGTATTTGTAGTGGAAACCATTCGAATTTTCTGTGATGGTTCTATTGTTTTTTTTTGTTTTTCAGCAGGGCCCTCTCCTGCTGTTTCACACGAGGGATCTTTTTCGTGTTGTGGTTTGTGGGCCAAGTGAGCAGAAAGGTCTGTTGCATGCACTTACTTATCTGTAACGATCAGCAGAGCGAGAGTAGTGTTTCAGCAGTTTATTGATGGATTTTTACAAGCGATTATTATTCACAAAGCAGCAGAATAGAGTGCGTCAAATCAAACGCCTCGTTTATTCCAGACAAAACCAGTTGTTGCTACACCAGTATGTGGAAGAGGATCAAACACATATAAATGGTACAATTAGAAAAAGTGCAAGCAAAATGAAATGATTCCACCTCAGATGAGGTCTAAGGATCTACCATTAGTCATGGATGGACCATACATAAAAAAAAATAAAAAAAAGAATAGGAACAGCAAGGAAAAGAATTCTGTGCCTAAGAAAATTCACCTTCAACTTAAAGAACAGCCCGTTCTTATCAGTACAGACATAATGCACTTAGAGATAACGGAACATTTCAAACCAACATCCGGTGGCTAGTTTCTCACATTTTTCTACAAACTTTATTCACATGTATTAAAGAGCAACACACAGAGTGATAAACTGCTCAGATAACCAACAATACTACAAACAAATGGATGTCAAGTTAGGAAATCCAAGATAAGAAAACTTATATTGCTTATATCACGTTCAAAAACTCACGCTATGACTTAACAGGCTTAAAGTCATACATTTCTAAAATATGAGGTATACATCTTTTGGCATTGAAGACAATTTTCTAATACTGGATTTCTTAGCCAACACAGAAAATAATGAACAAATGAAACCATCAGTCTACACAAACCGAGGCTTTACAGAGGAAGAAAAAACTAAATGCAAACCATTTGTCAGCGCATGCCAGATGTCCGAGACTAATCTCACAGTATTTGAGAAAACTTCCCCACTGAAAAAAAAAAAAAAAAAAAAAAAACAAATAACCTGAGAGTGAAATGAAACGACAAACTAGACAGTTTGCTTCAGAATATGCAAATCAAAATCTAATTTAGACGAAGACAAAAAAGAAAAGAAAACACACTTGGGTGAAAAAAGTCATTATAGTTTATCCTTGGAAAATTTGAACCAACAAACACACAAATATGGCATTATCTAACATTATGTACAGGTTTGTCATGCTGATAAAGTGCTGTTAAGCTGGACAGATGGGGAAGGGTCAGTTTTGGGGTTTTGCTCAGTAGAGTTGAGGAGAAGGGAAGGAAACTACAGCAGGAGTCGGTCGCAAATCTTTGTCTCTACGACAAACGTGTTCTCGAAGTGCCGGATGCTGTGGCAGTTCCTGGTCTCCCTCTTATCGACGCCTGAGGAAGAAACAGATTCGAGTCGGGTTCAGCAAGGATGTTGCATGTACTGTATTGCATAATTGTTGCATGTACATCATGCATCACCATCATAGTTACACTTTTTGTGTTGCCTGGTTCAGGAAGCATTTTACACTACCATTCAAAAATTTGGGGTCAGTAAAACTTGTTGTTTACTATTTTAGAAGTCTCTTATGCTGACCATGTCTGCATTCATTTAATCAAAAATACAGTAAAAACAGTCATATTACAAAATATTATTATGATTTAAAATAACGGTTTTCTATTTTAATATATTTTAAAAATGTAACTTATTCCTGTGATGCAAAGCTGAATTTTCAGCATCATTATTCCAGTCTTCATTGTCACATGACCCTTCAGAAATCATTCTAATATGCTAATTTAAAAACGTTTTTATTATTATCAATGTTGAAAACCGGTGTGCTGCTGAACATATTCATGGGAACTGTGATACATTTGATAAAAGATTATTTGATAAATAGAAAGATCTAAAGAACAGCATTTATTTAAAATTTGTAAAATTTTTTATTATTGATTTATTTACTGTATATCCTCCTGACTACCAGCTATGGAGTTTTGTCCTCTGTAGAGGACATTATGTTTTAGTGATTTCTCCGAGACGTTACATGTCACAGTTTTAAGTCTGGATGTCCTGTACAGAGCACATTCAGGGCTTTTCAGAGATACCAAATCATTGGATGTTTCACCATGACCACTCCCTCGCCTTGGTCTTTAAAAATGGCTGACATTCATTTAGTGATCAAGTGTCATAACAGTTGAGAATCGTCTTTATTTAAAGTTTAGTATAAAAAAAATGAAAATTGATTTGTGATTAAAACAAAAATCCCACTGTTTTTGCCTTTTCATGTCTATTCATGTCTTCATATTTCTTAAAAAACAGGACTTTTTAAAGTCCCGATGTCTTCTACAGAGGACATGGCATAACATATGAATAAAATATCATTTTTCAAAAATGTTATTTTTCAAATTTTTTCTTATGCTCTAAACAATGTAATGGACATGACAAAATACTAAATTCACAAAACAGTTTTTTCCTGGTAGTATTGCTGCTGCCACACAGATCTAAAATAAACATGCGATTTATTTCCCAGCTGTTTACATTCACAGACATAACCGACTGTTTTTGTAACTCATGCGTGTTTTTAACGTAAACTTGTGTGAAATTCTGTGAATGAGAACTTAGTTTAGAACTCACATGCTGTGACAGCCGCTTTCTGTACGTGTGCTCTCAGAAAAAGGTATATCAGAAGTTTAAACTAATATGGTTTAAAACGCATGATTTCAGCGCGATAAACATGATAATCAGAACCAAAACAGATGTTTTTAGCAGGTACGAGCTGTAATGGTGCGCAGCTCTATTCTGGAAAAAAGGGGGCGGGGAGCAGCAGCTCATTTGCATTTAAAGAGACAGGCCCGAAAAACAGCGCATTTTCAAAATTATATAATAAATGATCTGTGATTTTGAGCTGGAACTTCACAGACACATTGTGGGGACACCAGAGACTTGTATTACATATTGTAAAAAGAGGCATAATATGTCTCCTTTAATGAATTTTCAGCAGCATTACTCCAGTCCTTCAGAAATCATTCTAATATGCTGATTTGCTGCTCAAGCAGCATTTCTTATGATCTTCAATGTTGAAAACAGTTGTGCTGCTTACCTACCATTCAAAAGTTTTAACACTTCTATTCAGCAAGGATGTTGTAAATTGATTCAAAGTTATCGTAAACACACATGATTTTACAAAAGATTTCAAATAAATGCTATTCTTTGAATTTCTAATTCGTCAAATAGAAAGTATCACAGTTTCCAGCTTTGGTGAGCATACGAGTCTTCCTTCAAAAGCATTAAAAATCTTAGTTATTTCAATCTTTTGTAGTAATAATAATAATATTATTCACACTGATGTTTAATTAGCAAAAACCAATAATAAATCAAGAAGTCATGAAACTCACGTCTTTGGCCGCTACGGCGTCTCAGTCTATAGATTTCTTTTCCGTAACAGAGCCGGTGGATGAAGGGTCCCAGCTGACGCATGTTCCTAACGCGCCCCGTCACCACCATCTCTTCCTGAATGATGTAGGTCTGGGGCAAATACATCCCCCGCTGCCAAAACACAAATGCATACAAACGGTCACATGGGGCTACGGGCTTCATTCCATCAACACTGACACATTAGCTATGACGAATCAAACGGATTAGAAATCTGTGTCACCTCTGCTAGGGAAGAGACAAATTCTTTTTAGGGTTTGCATGCATCAATTTGATTATATTGAATAAATTAAAAATACTAACAAAAATTTTTTATAAATAATGTTACTAGATAAAATGCTTAAGAACTAGGGGGAATTTAATTTTTTTTTCAAAAATAATAATTATATACTAAATATTTTAATGTACATAAATAACATATTAAATTATATACTAAAAATAAATTATATTATCTTGAAATCTTTTTAAGTAAGTATTATCCAAATTTAAAAAAAATATATATTTCCAGGTTTTTCATGATCATGGGAATACTGTTTTTACAGGTTAAAAATTAAGTTTTTATTAACAAATTATTTGTGAAGGTGCAGTTCTACCTCGTTTCACATTTCAGAAATAAAGGCTGCACATCAAACATGTGACTCACAATCTGAGACCTTTTATTCATGTGTTACATAAAACTTTATGCAATCTGTTACCTTGACATTGACAAGCAGCTCCCACAGGTTCCTGGGTGGCATGACGATTGTCGTGTTGAGTTCAATAACGTAGCACTTATCCAACGCAATGTCGTAGTAAGCTGTGAGTCCCTGTGTTAACGAGAAACGGCAATACCTCTTAATAACCACTCTAGAATCAAATAAAAAATGGATTTGGTGAAGTTTAACACATTTACCACCATTTAAAAGTTTGAACTCTTAAAACTAATACTTTTTCTCAGCAAAGATGCATTAAATTGATCAAAAGTGACAGTAACAAATGTTACAAAAGATTTTCATTTCAAATAAATGCTGTTCTTTTCAATCATCTATGCATCTATGAAAAAGATTGAAAATAAGAAATGTTTCTTGAGCAGCAAATCAGTATATTAAAATGATTTCTGAAGGATCATGTGACACTGAAAACTGGAGTAATGCTGCTGAAAATTCAGCTTTGCATCACAGAAATAAATAGCATTTTATAATATATTCAAATAGAAAAGTCTTTTAAATTTGGACCCAAAAATGTTTGCTTGCCAACATTCTTCCAAATATCTTCTTTTGTGTTCCAGAGAAGAAATAAATGCATACAGGTTTGGAATTACATATTTATTTTCATTTTTGGGGTGGACCATCCCTTTAATTTCAAATTTATGAGCATTGATAATGCTTGGAGAAGATCTACATCCACATTTCTCATTACAAAATCTATATACATGCAAGCCGGCACAAACTAGACTGCAAAAATTATTTACTTACTCAGTATTTGTGTATTGTTTTTCAGCACAAATATCTAAACATTCATTAATCAAGGCATTTAATTGAGAAGCAATAAGCCTTAAAACTAGGAAAAAGTATCAAAATTAAAGTAGGTTTATGCTTAAGAAAAAAAAAAATGGGGTAAGAAAAATAAACTTAATTCAAAGGTAAAACAAAATTATTTTTATTATCCCACTTTCTTACCCCCATTTTTCTCATTTTAAGCATAAACTCACTTCATATTGATAAACTGTCCAAAAAAAAAAAACGAGACTTAATATCTTAATTAATATCTTGCTAATTTTTCTTCTTGAGTAAATGCATCTTGATTTAAGACTTTTAAGACATTTGTAAGGGAAAAAAAAATAGTAATACTAAGAATATTCTTGCCTCACTGACATATTTTTTTCTTTTTTAAGCATAAACTCACTTCATTTTAATACATTACCCCCCAGTTTTACAGACTTAAGCCTAGTCCCCGATTTAAGCCGTCTTAAACCTAGTCCCCGACTAAAATGTAAGTCTGAGCTGTTTCAACTGAAAGAAATGTGCACTGGTTGATCTTGAAATAGGTCAGTGCCCTTGTTTTGTCTCAAGATGCACACCAGTAATGTTTTTTCTAAGGCATGTTTATAAAAATTACTTTAAAATCCTAATTGAACTATGGCCTAGTCCTGGCTTAAGCTAAGCCCCATCTGTGAAACCGGGCCAACAAGACTTAATATTTGAAGTCATTTTCAAACACTAAGCAAGAAAATCATTTTATCTGCAGTTGCACCCAACAATGCCAAGACATTAGTCACGGCAGCATCTCAAGACGTCAGGTGGCGTGAGCAATCCATCCGCCTCCAGTCTCTCAGAGACGCTGGTGCCGAGGACACCAGCTCGGATCGGCCCACGCAGGCTCTGGATCATCGTGAATCAAACAGATTTGCTGACAGAGCTACTATCTCCGCCTGGCAGAGTGATATTTATAGGCACGTACTGTACTTCCACACTCCTTATTTGTACAGGAGTTCCTATCTACGTAGGGAGGACACACAGTAGCAGCGGGTAGGAGACAGTGTGTGGGCACCAGGCTGAAAATAACAGCTCTAGTATCAGATTAGATGAATCCACGTCATTTTCACTCTAGTAGGGAAAATGAATGCAGGCACATGAGGTCGAATTAAAAATGTGACGCACTAGAGAAGGGACCGTTCTGAGTCGCCCACAAATGTCCTACTTTATAATGCTTTCAGACTTCAGTTACTCCCAGCTGAATTCTAATGAATGGACTTTATTTAGCTTTCTAGTTAAAACCCCAAAGATCTGATGCACATTGACAGCTTCCAATGACTCAAAACTGATGCATTCTCAGAAATGAGAAAACTATTCAATCTGCTGTCAGCATCATATTCCTCAGAGCCAATTACAAGACTCAGACAAAAAGACGGATGTCAGGCATCCATTTTGTGAAGGCAAAGATCCTATTTCACCCCGACTGATGGGATCAAGCATGTGCCTGGTCGGATTGGAGCGAGGACTGAGCGTTCCAGGCACATCAAAACAAAAGGTTGGGGTCATCTGCACTGTCACAGCTCAAGTCAAGTGGTAATAAAAGGTTTTGCAGTTGAATAACTACCATCATGGGAACAAATAGCAAGCGTCCATGTAGAGGACACACACACACACACACACACACACAAATGCAGCTCAAGCCGATTTGTTGGGCACTAATCTGCAGTGGCGGTTTATGCTGAGGGATGATGTAATGTCATCCTGCTGTGCATCCTGCGGTCATCTGCACTGTCACAGCTCAAGTCAAGTGGTAATAAAAGGTTTTGCAGTTGAGTAACTACCATCATGGGAACAAATAGCAAGCGTCCATGTAGAGGACACACACACACACACACACAAATGCAGCTCAAGCCGATTTGTTGGGCACTAATCTGCAGTGGCGGTTTATGCTGAGGGATGATGTAATGTCATCCTGCTGTGCATCTCAATATTGGCTCGCATCTATCAGCTGTAAACCAATGCAGAACTGCAGGTCCAAGCCTGGCAAAGTGTATAATATATACTTCAATATTAATATATTCATAAAAGTCTGAGTTGTTCAGTTAAGACACAGGACATCTGATACTTATTATCAATCTGTCATAATAAAATTAAGACAGAAACTGGTGCATTATCAGAAATAGGAAAATTGTGAAATCTGCTGTCAGCATCATTTTTCTCTGACAAAAAAAAAACGTTTTCCTGTGCATCTCAATACTGCCTCACATCTATCAAGTGCAATCCATTTTTACACAATTTTTTTTTTTTACTTCAAACATGCACAAGCCCGCCAAAGTGAATAATAATATTTAATGGAATACTAATACTAATCATCATCATCATCATTATTATTGTTAAGCATAATAATTGTATATATTAGATTAGATTCACATTACAGCTTTGTCTATTAATCACCTAATTGGTTTAGAGACATAATGGCACTGTTAAAGTCCAATTATTAGAATGCAATATTATTTTTTATTAAGAATAAGTTAAGCATAAATATAATATATTTTACTTCAAACATGCACAAGCCTGCCAAAGTGAATAATAATATTTAATGGAATACTAATACTAATCATCATCATCATCATTATTGTTAAGCATAATAATTGTATATATTAGATTAGATTCACATTACAGCTTTGTCTATTAATCACCTAATTGGTTTAGAGACATAATGGCACTGTTAAAGTCCAATTATTAGAATGCAATATTATTTTTTATTAAGAATAAGTTAAGCATAAATATAATATAATAGAATTCAAATAATATACATATATTTTTGCAGTTCTGATTTCTTTTTACCTGGAGGAACATGACAAAACAAAGGATGGTTTCACAGCCGAACACAAAACAATAGACAATAATGGGTATTTAAATAAGCTGTAACTCACGTGAGAGTAGGGCATGTGAATTTCCTCTTTGTCTCCATCGTCCTCCTTTTCCGGCTTTTGTGCAGTTACTTGCTGAAAAGATATCTTCACCATTTTGACGCTTCTTCCTAGTTTTCTGCGGTTAGGACGTCCAGTAGTGATTGTACCACCAAGGACGCTTCTGAGCTGTGAATAAAGCGCTCGACTGAGGGCGAACTTAAAGAGGATTCCCTCGCTTCCGGTACACTTTAAAGTAAGAGTCCACCAATCGGCGTCTGTTTTCTAAAATTAGTATCACTTGCAATTTTCACAATAAAAAAAGCCTTATCTAGTAACCCGTGCAGATCCGAATTATCAAAAATTATCAAAAATGTCAAAAATGACAATGTTTTATTTTTACTCCAAATGCAGTCATAAATAATAACCATTGGGGGGGAAATCAGTTTGATATTTTAAAACACATATTGAATGTCCCTGCATAAGCATTATCCATCCATCCATTAATTCTTTTAAGATTTTCATTCTACATCCATTCCCATTAGATTTTACCTGAGATCACATTTTGCATTTTTTTTTAATATACAGAATTTTACTACAGCTCACACGTCTATTTTGCTTAAAATTCTAAAGAAAAACCTTATAATGTTTTACATTATTACACATCGATGTAGTAATATTTTAATTACATTATTGGTGCATAGTTAAGATATACATCTAATCTAAAAAATATTCTGCATAACAATGATTGTGAGAAGTCATAATGTGCCAAAATGAACCATGGTTTTACTACAAAAAAAAAAACCTGCTTAACTTACTATAGTTAAACCATGGTTACCACAAATTAACCACGATCTTGCTACACTAACCATAGTTTAACCATGGTACTTGTAGTAAAACTGTGGTTATACAAATGGTAATCAATGTGCCAAAAAACATGGTTACTACACTATAATAAAACCATGGTTAATCTTCATTTGTCAAATCAATAACCTTGAACGATATATCAAAAGATTATCTCGCCATGAATGTGATCGTACATTAACAATACAATTTAATTACTTACACAGATTTAAAACAATTTTTAAATTAAAGTAATACTTGGAACAATGAAAAAAAATTATCCCACGGGATTTTTCTAAGTCAGCCATTCATCTCCGCCTGGTGCCGTCTTGGACTTTTATTGTGGAATTGTTCCCACAAATGGATGTGCATTCCGGTTCTATTTTAGCCGTTTACGGTGCTCATGCTCTACTACGCGTTCTGATTTGCATCAGACTGCCGGAAGTCAATAAATAACTTGACACTGATGAATGCTTTTTATGGCTCTGATGCAGGTTATAATCTATAAATTATAATCTACAAACAGCGCAAATGAAGTATAATCAAGTATTTTCAGGTTATGAAACTGAAAATAATTTTGAATTTCATGTTTTATCATCGCACTGTGGATTTGTCGATTTAAAAGATTAATTTAAACGAGACTTTACTTTTTTTTACTTAAAAAATGAAATAGGAAAAAAAAATGATATAAGACAACCAATAGGCCTATATGAAATGTAGGCCTAATATAAAATATTACATATATTCATTAAATGTAATAAAGCACATGTGACTAATGTGCTTTCTTTTATTCACTAAAACAATGCGATTCGCTATCTGACGTAGCAGCCTTTATGACTTTGACTTAAATGTGTGGTTTATTTTTCAGTAGTCTTATATGAATGTTAAATATCAGCACCTTTTCATGTGTTTTGCATTACATTCATATGTACCTTCATATATGGAGATGGCCTCATAATAAAGCACTGTGATGATGTCCCACATACGCACACTGGTAAAGTGGGACGCGCGCAGAAATGAGATCAACTCCGCACTGATGGAAATGATCGTGCGCGTGAACTCAATTCCAGTAGAGGACGCACTTTTGTTCTGTTCAAAAAGAAAGAATTAATTTCTGTAATTGTCATATTGGGGTAAATTATTATTTTATTGTGTAATGCATAAAAACTACCAGCCTCTGGCTGATTGTGTCTTTGCCATTTATTTTTCTGATTTAGTTTTATACTTTTTGAAGTCCCTTTCCCATTCCATCTCTCTAAGTACCTTTTTGAAGAGTTTCATTCTGACTATAATTTACAAGATAACATGACGTTTCAACCCTCTAAACTCGAAAACCTAAGTTCGTTGATTTTTAAAAGTAAAAATATATGAATAAATTGGTTCCAAGTTAAAACCTGCAGTTAGATTATTGCAGTTTTTATGACAAAAAAATATGAAATCGACTTAATTTGAATAAAACTGAGTTGAAAATATAATATATAGGCATATGTAATATATATATATTTTTAAGGTTAATGTCAGGATTTTGATTTTTCTCTGAATAACTTAGTCTAACTAATTGACTTAAGGACAGTATGACATTATCTATCTATCTAGGTACTCAGTGTAGTTGAACTTAATTTTATTCACTAAACTCATCTACAGGTTCACAGGGCGGGTTGGTTTACAGTGCCAAGACAAAGGCGAGGCTGTTGGTTGGTTACCAGTCAGTCCATTCACATGTAAATCAGCCCTCATAAATGTCCCTCTTCAATCGCCCACTTTGCACAGTATATTTAGTGCTCGTTAGCACAGACTTTTGTTTCGAACTGAACCCGCCGACCATCTGCCCCCCATTCAGGCGTCCTCTCAGCGGTCTCTATACTGCAGCAATATGGCCCCTGCGTCCCGCAGCAACAGACACGAGGAGGACTATTTCGGAATAAAAGACAGAAAGGTACGCAACGCGTCTTTTTAATCCCACAAGCAAACGTTTATCGACGCTTTCCACAAGTTAAACGCATTCTCTCTCCCTCTTCAGACGAGGAAGCCGCTGGTGGAGAAAAAGAGACGCGCCCGCATCAATGAAAGTTTACAGGAGCTGAGGCTACTGCTAGCCGACCCGGATGTAAGCTTATTTAGCACTTCTTCAAGCATCTGTATCCAGCACCAACATACAGCGCAAAGACAGTCTTAACGTCGCTGTTTATTTATTTATTTTAGGCGCAGGTAAAAATGGAGAACGCCGAGGTGTTGGAAATGACCATGAAGCGCGTGGAAAGTATCCTGCAAAACAAAGCGAAGGGTAAGAAGAGCTGTTATCAAGTTTCATACAGGCCTGCATTTAAAAAAACACCCCGACTCGCAGTGAGTGTATTTGGGTCGTGACGTCACGCCGCTTTTCTCCTCCGCAGAAGCTGACAGCGTGAACCGCGAAGCTAACGAGCGGTTCGCCGCGGGATACATCCAGTGCATGCATGAGGTGCACACCTTCGTGTCCAGCTGTCCGGGAATCGACGCGACCATCGCCGCCGACCTGCTGAACCACCTCCTGGAGTGCATGCCTCTGAACGACGAGGATCGCTTTCAGGACATCCTGTCAGATCTCCTGTCGGACTCTAGTAACTGTGGCACTTGGCCTTGCGAGGCGACGTACGCCGCGTTGTCGCCCGGAGACAGGAGCGTGGTCCGCAGCGGCTCCTCAGTCTTGTCCCCGGCCCCTTTCACCACCTCCAGCGATGACCTTTGCTCTGACCTGGATGACACGGACACGGTGCACAGCCGAGTCTCGGTGGACGCCAGGGAACAAGCGCCAAGCGTGCCAACCGTGCATCTATCCAAGTCCATGTGGAGACCTTGGTAGACAGATGCTTCTGGAGATCCCAGCTGATTCATGAACAGTATATTTTTACTTTAGAGCTATATAGACATGCAATAGTCCAGGAGCACCTTTCTGACAAACCATGGACAGTTCTACATATATAGGAATAGGGCAGCTGCAACGTTTTTTTGTCATTTGTGACCTTGGACCACAAAACCAGTGATAAGATGTATACATCATCTGAAAGCTGAATAAATAAGGACATTATTTGGCTGAGATACAACTATTTGAAAATCTGGAATCTGAGGGTGCAAAAAAAAAAAAAAAAATCAAAATATTGAGAAAATCGCCTTTGAAGTTGTCCAAATTAAGTTCTTAGCAATGCATATTACTAATCAAAAAATTAAGTTTTGATATATTCTCGGTAGGAAATTTACAAAATATCTTCATGGAACATGATCTTTAGGCCTGCTTAATATCCTAATGATTTTTGGCATAAAAGAAAAATCGATCATTTTGACCCATACAGCTATTTTTGGCTATTGCTACAAATATACCGGTGCTACTTACTACTGGTTTTGTGCTCCAGGGTCACATTTGTCATCGACCCGTTGATACCCCTCAGAAGCTCTTCTTGGTGCAACAATGTGCATTTCAGTTCAGTTTCACACAAAAGTTCGTATTTTTATTTAATTGTTTTTGTATAAGCTAAGTTAAAACAACTCTGTAAGGATAAATAATATTTCTAGGGAGTGTTTTCCCATCTCTAATTATTGTAGGCTAGGGTGTAAATATTTCAATGTTGTGGCTGTAGATAGATCTCTGACATTAAAAAAAAAGATGTAGCCTATGTTATCATTATGATGAAGTAATTTTGAAATAAATGTAAGATGTACTGACATTTAATGTGTTTTATATGTGATTGTGATTTCAATAAAACGTTTTGATTTCCTCACTGTAAAGAGTTTCATGTTATTTTTACGGTAACGCGAATTTGAGGCTTTTCTCGGGACTGACCAAGAGCAGATGCTATGCCGTTTTTAGGCAGTTGCAATTGCTTTGATGAAATAACCAGAGTATGTAACTTGTTTTATCACACCTTTTCTATTATTTCTGAAAGTGTGAACGTCTGCTTTGGGTGCTCTGGCCCTCCAGACGTGTAAAACGTAACGCCTCAGTCACGGTTAACCATCAGCTCAGGCACAATGACTGGCACTATGTAAGGTGTCATGTGGCGCTGTGTAGACTATACGTGTTACTGGTCAAATCTGTCATAGAAAATAAGCAAAGCAAAAATAGATGTTTGCAGTTTAGATTTAATAATGACATTTTGGCGGACACTATGGTTGTAATGGTAAGGGACAGATCGTGAAACCGGCAACCTTACGTCCGTTAACGTGGTTTCAGTAACGTTTGACGTTCCGTAACTGTTCAGCCTGATCATACAACAAAAGATATTTACTATAGAAATGTACGTGGAAAAATTATGTTAATTCAAATGACTTTTCCAGGGGATGGGGTTGACGACTTCAGATGAAGTCTAGCTTAAAATATAGCAGTTAAAAGGGTAATGTAATAGCCTACATGTAACATATAACGGTTCAGTAACCACCAAAAAGTTACATATTGTGTGAGGTTTTAAGTAACTTACTGTATTCGCGCGGTTTTCAATCACGTCGACAAAAAAGAAACAGCACGTTAGTTCCATTACATTGGTTAAACATATCCTACCACAAAACCATTTTGGAGGTTTATTTTTAAATTCAGGACGGTAACTGTACTAGGCCTGCGCCTGCAAGCCGCAACTAATAGCGGCTGACAGAAAAAGTAGCAATGTCTGATTAAAGTTGAGTTGTCTAAATGGATAGTTTTAAGATCCGCTCAGTGTCTTAGTTAATATAAATCATCGTTTGATGTAAATTAAATACGTATTAACTCTTTTAAAGCCACATATAATGTTCGCAGACTGTTGACAGGTTGTATTAGCTCTGCTTTCATCGGATCGGGGCCGGATTTTCGGTTGTTGTCTTGGTAGGAGGCCTGAAGGAACCATTCACACCTTGTACTCAAATTGGCGCAGGTGTGAAGGAGAGGAACTAGCTCGCCTTTCATGTGTGGAGGCACAAACCCCTGTCTGGGCGCGCAGCGAGTGGAGTCTGATCACATGAAGGGAAGCTGTGCGTCCGATGTGCGCTGTATAATAATAAAAAACTGCTGTAACGGTCGTCTGACTTTGAACATATGGCGCAGAAAGGGCCCCTCAGCTCCAACGGTCCATTTGTGCAGGACTGGCTTGTACTCAAATGATTATCAGAACAACAAAAAACTGATAATAGGAATTTACATTCCTCTTTGATTTACTTATTTTTTTTTTTTAATAAAAAAAAAATATATTTTTACATTTATTTGCAATGTTTAATAAAATAATTGGGATTGCTTTCCGAGTTGCCAAGTGAAAAGCAGTTTATAGCTAAATCAAAATTTTATATACATTTACATACATTTTATTTAAAGCAAATATGCTTTATAGAAAGAGGGGTCTGTCAAAGTTGAATAAAATCCAAGATTGATTGTTTAATGTGACTATTTGTATGAAAAAAAAACTGATCAGGGCTATTTAATTCCAGTTTAAATTCCAATTTTATGTCATTTTTCATGATCACAATACATGAAAACGTGCTGGAAAATGCAGTGGTACATTTAAAGTAACGACTGATGCATATAAATGTAAGAAGAAATGCACATTTTAAAATGCATAAGGCATGCTAATCTGAATTATTTACCGAAAAGCGGTTTAATTTATCTAACCTCACATAGGCTATACATTGTGTTTTAAATAGGCTATAACAAGAGGAAACACACAAACAAGAGTAATTTTTAAAAAATAGACTTTAATTCAAATTCACTTCAGCATGAAGGAACACCGTATAGTAACAAGTTCGAAAGTGACAGAACACAAACACATTTATTCACAACGTGGGCTAAAAGTTTTTTCCTCGACATTAAAGGCTTAAGAGGCCAAGTTGACCTCCACATTAGTGTTATCTTTGAACCTGCTATTGAAATCTCATTCTGCCCATATGTCCCTAAGGTGTTTTTGTGCTGGGGATTTATGGTAGTTGTGGTCATACAGCAGGTTTTCACAGGTTTAGGTAGGGACACTCGGTGAGATCAAAACTTCTGTCTGTGTAGATTCAACCTAGGGCTTATAAAAGAGGAGAAATTTAACACTGAGGTACTACATCGCAACAGACCATCAGACAGCCAGTCTGAACAAGACAACAGCACCTAAACTCTTTAGCTTGAAATACTTTTCACATAAATTCACCTAATGCTACTAATGCACTCGACGCACTCACTATCTGAACAAATAAGCTGCCAGTGCTAAAGCAAAGTGACGCGACTAAGTTAGCGTGGTTTGTGCCAATTACGTAGAGCACGTTCCATCTGTCCTACACTGTAAAAAAAATTCCGTAAAATTTACGGTAAAAAACCGGCAGCTGTGGTTGCCGGAATTTTACCGTAAAAAATACGGTAGCAACGTTTTAGGTTTTACGGTTTTAACTTAAATTTACAGTTAAATACTGTAATTTCATTAACTGATATAATGTTAATATACCAACCTATTGAAGTACTAAAATCTGTTTTGTACCTTTGTAATACACGGATAACCACCAAATGCAGGAGGTGATGAGAAAGTCACATGATGAAACAAAGCCCATCACAAGCAGCTTTTATATAATAACATATATAGAAGGTGCACAGTGTCATTCACACAAACACCAAACACCATCATGGTAACACACATGAAACTGAAATAATGCAATAAACATTAATTTAACAACATTAGGTGTAACATAAACCTAATATACAAAACTGATAAGAAAAAAACTAAGAAGAAACATAGTTATTTCAACAAAAAAACATCAAATTTGAAATGTAACGCAGGGAATTCTGGGAATGTCAATTTACGGTTATTCAATGTAAATTATATGCTCTTTTTCCCCTTCCAAAAATGGTATACTACCGTAAAATTAATGTCCAATACATGTAATGTCCAATACAGTTTTTCACCGTATATAGTAGGGGAATTTACCGTTAACCATTTAACAGGCTTTTACTGTAGCATTTTTACAGTCTTTTACCGTTAAATTCACGGTAATTTTTAGTCTTTTTCACTTCCAAAAACGGTATACTACCGTAAAATTAATGTCCAATACATGTAATGTCCAATACAGATTTTCACCGTATATAGTAGGGGAATTTACCGTTAACCATTTAACAGGTTTTTACTGTAGCATTTTTACAGTCTTTTACCGTTAAATTCACGGTCATTTTAAATAATACATCAGCTCACAAACTACAAGTCCTCAGTGTTAAATTGTGAATTTGAAAGGATATCAGAAACATATCCAATAACACACAAACACCAGAAGAACTGTTTCAAGAGCTTATATGCCTATTCAAAAGAGAAAAAAAAACATAAAATAGTTTTTTTTTTTTTTTAAAGATGTAAAGAAGAAATAAGTTAGTATGTGTATATGCACGTTAAGTGGAAAAAAACTGTCAGGGAAACACTGAAAAGGAAATATTATTCTTTAATATTAAAATCTAACAGTAATGGTCATTGAACAGCTCAGAGTCTGGCTTTAGAGACAGTTTAGACTGTCTGGAAATAATTCATTCACTCGGATTTATTCTCTCACTCATTCATGTATTTACACATCTGTACATATTCACACAAACACATTCACACAGACAAGCAACAGAACGAGTCTTCATCAAGGTCCGAGGCTGCGGCAGGAGCATCTTTCGATGCTAAAATGTCTGCTTTGTCCGATCAGAAGAGGTCTGTATTCTTACAGGTGGAAAGAGGGGTTCAGTTCAGGTGACGGGTTCGAGAAAGTCACGTGTTTCTGAGTGCGTAGTCTTCACTGCTATTGGCCGGAGGCGCCGTGACATCACAGCTGTCTGTTTCTCCCATGTGCAGATCTGGTGGATCCTCCTCTGTCAGGGTTTCACTGACCTCTTCACAGCCGACACACGCCTGCAGATAAACACTCTTATTAGTCTGCATAGAGTTTGAAAGCCATTTTACTTCTTTAATGTGAAGTAGCCTCCTGTATTCTACAATTAAGAAAATGCTGGGAAAGAAATTCAGATTACATTTTACCACCTTAATATTTTTAAATGCAGTTATTATTTAAAAAATGGGACACATTGTGCATTTAATTCTAATTCTACTGATTAATTAAAAAAATAATATTAATATTATATGTATAAAATAAAATGCAAACACATACACACTCAAATATTTACACTACTTTTTAAAAGTTTGGGGTCGGTACTTTTATTCAGCAAAGATGCATTAAATTGATTGAAAATCGTACAAAAATATTAGTTTTATTAAACATTAAACTGTTTTCAACACCGATAATGTTTCTGTAAATATTAATAAAAAATAATAAATATTTCTTGAGCACCAAGCATATTAGAATTATTTCTGAAGGATCATGTGACACTGAAGACTGGAGAAATGATGCTGAAAATTCAGCTTTGCATCCCAGGAATAAATTACATTAAAAAAAAAAATTCAAATAAAAAATAGCTTTTTCATTTTGTAATAATATTTCACAATATTACGTTTTTTTCTGTATTTTTGTAGTGTATACTTTCCATGCATCAAAATAAGAACACCGTTAATGCATTAAAAACTGACTTCAGTATATATCAGTGTATACAGACCTTGACGTCGAATGCTTTGGGCAGCCCACCTCTTCTCATCCAGGGATGCACCTCCACCAGCTCTCTCCTCTGCTCTTCTGTAAAGCGCGGCTGACTTTTCTGCATCTGCCGCAGCTTCTCCCTGTCCTCCCTTAGAACCTTCTCAATGTCACTGCAAAAGGGAAAAAGATGTTTGTAATTTAGCGTCAAGTCAGCAGCATCCATGATTATTTTCATGGTGAAAACCATGTCAAAACACAATAAAAGATTAAAACCTATATATACGCGCTCGAAACCGAATGTGGTTTGATTGGTTTGTTTAGGACTTCAAAAGCAAAAGTGAAATAAAACGCAAACACATACACACTCAATCAGTGGCTAAATTCACTTAAACACTTTTATATAGCGCCCCCAAATGGGCATATCTTTAACCTTCTGTTGTTTTTAAAAACTGGGTATACATTTTGTAACATTGGTTTCCATCCTGTTTGCAAAAAACAAAAAAACAATCTATTTCTCCTGTCTCCGCCCACTCACCGAGATGGTAACTGGTATGAAACATCTTCGTCCACGTTAGCCATGAGCAGCCACAGTGGGTCCTGCAGTACATACTTGATCAGGGTCTCACTCCCATCCAGCGACCCAGAGCCCGAACCAGAGCCTTGCCCCTTGGCCTTATGGGATTTCTGGGAAGAATCCACACTGGCGAAGTAGTTACTGCTGTTGTTGCTTGTGTTGCTGCTTCCTGGGGAAGAAAAAAAAAAAAAGAGCAGAAAGAGTGATGAGAGAAGTGGACCTTTTGAACAGCACAGGTTTATAATGGAAATTCTGTATTGGAGAAACCAAACAAGAATTTAGAGGAAGTGGGAAAAACATTTTAAACAATGTTGTTTATTGTGGGTTTAGAATATGAGGTTCTTCCTCTTTTGGGATTGCTTTTGTGTGGTTGCATAAAACAATGTCAGGATATATAACAATGATCATGTTTTTACTGCATGTGTAGGACTGATCTGACTGCCAGACTTGTATAAACAGACAAATGCATTTTTGCGGTAAAAAGCCCCTTCTTAACGAGGCATTATTAACACAGTCGTCCGTCATAAAAAGGTGGGACAAATAAAATCAGATTTGTATAGAAATACCGGTGTCCTCCTCCCATGGTGAATGCAGCCTTATAGATCTTACAATGTTCGTTCACAACTGAGCTTTTGTTTATTATTACAGATTGGTTACCGAATAAAAAAAAAGAAAAAAAAAGAAAATCTACATGAGAAATACAATAAAGGTAACCGTGCCGTTGTTTTAATCAAATGTATAAATATTTACACTACAATTCAAAAGTTTGGGGTCAGTAAGACCGTTTAATGTTTGAGAAAGAAGCTGCATTTATTTGATTAAAAAAAAACAGTAAAAAGTGTGAGATATCATTACAATTTAAAATAACCACTTTCTATTTAAATATATTTTAAAGTGTAAATTTTTTAAAGTGTAATTTCATTATTCCAGTTTTCAGCGTCACATCATCCTTCATTCTAATGTGCTGATTTGCTGCTCAAGAAATATTTCTGATTATTATCAATGTTGAAAACAGTTGTGCTGCTTAATATTTTTGTGGAAACTGTGATACATTTTTATAGGATTATTTGATGAATCGAATGTTCTAGCATTTATTAGAAATAGAAAACTTTTGTAACATCATACATGTCTTTACTGCCACTTTTCATTAATTTAATGTGTCTTTGGTCAATAAAAATATGAATCAAAAAAGATAATGTATATTAATCTTTAATGATTTAAATAAAGGACTGTCAGCATCAAAATCGATATCAAGACTCAATAAATTGGCAATGTGTAGTAACAGCCCTGCTTGTGTACACTACAACGGACAGATCAGAAATAAATAGGACACTATAAAGATCTATAAACTCACCAGTTCTGCTGGCAGATGTTCCACAGCCGTTAGACCCAGAGCCCATGGAGCCTGAGGTGGCAGAGCCGGTGCCGGAGCGCGAGTCCTCTGGGAGAATGTCCAGCAGGTCACTAGATGATGAGAACGCATCGCTATGCTGACCGTCGACAGGTGACCCTTCATCCTAAAAAACAACAAAAATACAGAACATAATAAAATTCATTCATTTTGTTCTATTTTTATATAAACAATGAATACAGATTTTCCAATACCAAACCAATGTTAAGTAAAGCATTTAAATCACTTTGAATCTAAACGCCTTCAATTCACATGTAAGCCCCATGGCAGCTATTCTCACATCTATAAACATAACTGCATAGTTGGTTTAATTGCTCATTTACAGGTGCATCTCAATAAATTAGAATGTCGTGGAAAAGTTCATTTATTTCAGCATACCAGCTGTATATAAAAATTCTATACTAAATTATCAAAACGTCCAGAATAACCTCTTGGCTCAATACAAAGAATATAAAGTTTTAAGCTGCATTGTTTGTAACATTATAAGAAAGTGAAAGTAGTATTTTTTTATGTATTATTTATTTATTTATAAAACATATAACATCATATCTTGTCAAGGAATCCTAAATAATCCTTTGCATGCTTAAAAACCTAAAGTGAAGAATGCTAAATTTAAAGCAGCTTGGTCTGTAGCATTATGAAAAAGTGAAGAAGATGGTATAACAATGTATTATTATTATTATTATCATTCATTCATTCAGAATTTCTAATTACTATTATCTTAAATACAGATGCAAGTGTGACATTGTATATTGTTGGAGGATCCTAAATAATTCTGCATGCTTAAGGCCTAATGTAAAGAATACAAACTTTTCAGCTGCATGTTTGGTATATAATTTTCACATTCATTGTTATTGTTATTTATTATAATAAAATTTTTTAAAATACAGATATTACTTTTGCAATAATAATCATGTTATAATTTGTTATGCTTAAAGTCTAATGTGACTGCATCAAGATGTAAAGCTTAAATTCGGATCGTCTTGCTTTAAAAAAAGCAAAAACTGCCACCTGTTGGTCAAACCAAAGATTTGCATTTGAGTTTTTCTGTTTTGTGTGTGTGTTGTTTGAATACATTCAGACAAAATGAAAGAATAAGATACGAGAGTAAAAAAATTATTTAAAAAAAACAAACACAGTGGTCAAAAATGCACTGTAATAAGATTTCCAACCTGTGGCACATCCTTGTCAGTTTTAGCTTGCCCGGCTGTGCTTCCTGCTTTCTCCACACTACTGCTGCAGTTGGCCTGTGGTACAACAGATGGCGCCGTGCTCTCCTGCCTCTCAGCAGAGCGTTGAGTCTCCTCTAACTGCAGCAGGTTGAGCTGCAAAGGCGAACTGCAGCGCGACTGGAACAAAGGCGGAGACGGCGGCCCGCCTCCACCCACGGAGTGAGGGGTGGGGCTTCGTGAAGGCTCCTCCCTCAGCTCGGGCTCCGGCGGTTTTGGGGGCTCCTCGGGACACGCGAACGGAAACGGCGGGAATGGAGTCTGTGGGGTAAAGGGGTTCTGGGGGGCGAACTGGGTCTGTATGGTGAATGTGGACTGTGGAGGGAATGGCGCCTGTGCGGCGAAACTAGGCTGAGGTTGAAAGGTAGGCTGTGTGGGGAAACTTCCTTGCTTGGGGTAGAACGGCTGCCGTGGAGCGCTGCCCATCTGTGGGAACATGTAGTTGGGCAGTACCAGCGCCACCATGGGCGTGACCAGAGGAGCCGAATACGGTGTCTGGATGGGCTGCATGGGGATGCGCGGAACCTGGCTGCACTGACTCTCCCCAAAGCCTGAGAGCGGAGCATCTACCCTAGGCTGCATGCCGCCGGCTCCTGGGTACATCTGCAGCGGGTACGTGGGCATCACAGCCGGATAGGCGATGGGGAAGGTGGATTGGGATGTGTCTGAGGGAGACCAGGAGGTCTGGTTGAGGCCCTGCTGCTGAGGTCTGGGTGAAGGTCTACGGCCTGAAGGAGTGCTGTCAGAAGACTCGTTTGGCTTGATCCGTTTGGACTTGGTCTTCTTGCTGCGACCCCGGCGGATCCCGGTGGTCTCCTGTGCGCCACCACCACCCTGCTTACAGGAACGAGCAGCGGGAACAGCTGCAGAGAAAGATGGGAAACAATTATCAACTTAAATCATGTAAAAACTACTTTGATGCAATTTTTTTATATTTACAATCAAAGAACAAAACAAATTGTGATTGGAATAAACAAATAAGCTTTATATGTTATTATATAATATGACTGTAAAATAATAATATGTAATAGAATAAGTAATATAGTAATAATAATTAATGTTATGTTTACTAATAATGTAATAATAATATTAATTATTATGAGGTTTATTATTATTATTATTATATATAGAATGGCCATGTATGGTGTCCCATACTCTAAATTTGTGCTCTGCATTTCACTCATCCATGTGCACACACAAAGCAGTGAGTAGTGAACAAACACACACACACGCCCTCGGGGAGCAGTTGGGGGTTCGGTGCCTTGCTCAAGGGTCTCACCTCAGTCGTGGTATTGAAGGTGAAAGAGAGCGCTGGACATTCACTCCCCCCACCTACAATCCCTGCCGGACCTGAGACTCGAACCCGCGACCTTTGGGTTACAAGCCCAACTCTCAAACCATTAGGCCACGATTGCCCCTTATTTTTGTAAGAAAAATAATATAAAAATTCAGAATAACTGTAAAATTGCAATACTAATATTTATGGCTTGTCTTAATTAATTTTTTTATTTTTAAATGATCAGATTATATTGATATTGTTATTATTAAATGATCAGGTATTTTTCACAACATGTTTTGGATGATGGTAGGCGCACATTGCATTCCCAAAAGCATGTTATAAACGACACATTATAAACTCAGAGCACATTTGCAGAGATGTATTTGTGTGGAACAGCATTTACTGTGAACCGAGCCGCTCAAAGACACTGAAAACACAGGATCATGAGCTGCTCACGTGTAAAAGAACACAGTGCTGTGCAGCTTTTGACTCAAATCCTTCCTTACCCTCCGATGCGACTTGTCCTTTCCTTCTCTCCAGATAGAGGGAGCAGTCGGCTTTGAAAGCATGCACACCTCGCAGCTCTCTGAAGCGGCTGAGGAACGCATGCTCTTCCTTCTGTGTGTGCGCCGCCAGAACCTGCTTGGTCAGGCCCAGCTTCTTGTAAGCCTCTCGCTCCTGATTGTGTGGCGAGACTGCAGCCGGAGGAACAGTGAGACCCTGACCTTCAGTGCCTTCAGCGCTGGGGACATCCTCGATGATCTCTGCAAAGAACAACACAAGACGTTTAACTACAATGAGCAACGTGTTTTCCCAAAACTCAGGTGACATGACCAGCACTTGTTTACGGGCTGCATCCAGGCCTTCTCAAGTTTATCTCATGCATGTTGGGATGGGAATCAGAGGAAAATGCTAGAAGGATGCATACATTCCTGAAGCCCTGCCAGGGTGATTTGCACCTTTATTTTACTCATCAACTCAATCAAATGGCTTCGCAATCAATTTTTTGTCCCTATGTCATGGGAAGATTTTACTAACTTTGAAGTTTGGAAGAGAATTCTTGCTTTGGAGAGATGTGTCTTGTTGAGGATACGACTAAAACAAAAAAGTTGTTTTTTTACCAAGGAAAAGACAAAACACATACAGCTCTAATACAGATAAGTTAGATATGTATCCAAAACCTAGTGAGCTGCATAGGTAGCATTTTATTATTTCTCCATATTGGACGATGCATATCAACTGTTACTGGATATAACACTGTTAAATGTTTGTAAAAAAAAATAAAAGAAATAAAAAATAAAAAATTCATGCAAATATTAAAACAGATATCCATTTTCTTTCTTTCTTTCTTTCTTTCTTTCTTTCTTTTTGATTTGGACAAAAGAGTATAGATTTCTCATATAATTTATAACATGAAAATTATAACAGGAAATTTATGTTTTATCATTTTAATTTATATTATTATTTTAAATGTTGTTTATTAATTATACATTTTTTATTATAATAGCAATGACTAGAAACAATTATATTATTTATAATTAACATTATTATCATCATCATTATGTTTATCATTTATTAATATATTTATATTTATAAATAAATAAATATTATATAATAAAACTATTATTTATTAATTATACATTTTATTATACCAAATTAATTAGAAACTATAATTTAACAATAATTTAAATAATTATTATTTTAAATTAATTTGATAATATTAGCATGACTTATTAAATATATTATAACAAAAACTATTTGAAAATTACTATTTTATTATAAAAGTTTTTAAAATATAACTTTTTCAATATCAACAAGTACAGATACTTTTTATATCTTGCCAAGAAAATTGTTCAAATGCAATTAAATGGACAGTTTTGCCTAATTGTGCTATATAAACACAGTATATTTATTCTCAGCATCATATTGTTACCTTAGCAACATGCTAATGGAAACTAAAATGATTTCCTATGTAGGCAGCAGACATCACGACAGCTCACTAGGTTTTGTAACAGAAACATTATTTATAAGAACAGATAGACAGGAAAGGAAGACAGACAGATATACAGAAGAAATCAATTTACCTTTTTTGTCTCCTACATGTACAATGGTGCTGCTGTAGCTGCACTGGCTGGTGATGGACAGCACGCTTTCAGGTTTACTGGGCAGCGCGAGTGGAGTCAGAGACGGACTCACTACACCAGATCCTGGAGGCTTCTTAGACTCATCTAATGATGAGAGACCTGGTTGGTTCTTTAGATGGTCCGCCTCTGAACACAGAGAAAATGCAGAACAACCAGGTTTCAGAACTGATGTATTTAAAGGGATTAACAATAAAGATGGCCTGACAAGCAAATACAACATTATATATTCATTTATATTAGATTTTCATGTAAATGTGTTTTTATGCTTTGTAAACTTTAACATTTGGTTTTGTGTGATGGACTGAACACAGCAAAACTAGAAATTCTGCCGATTTAAATATGCTACCAGAGCAATTTTATCTGGCTGGTTAACCAAAAGAAGTTTTGTTGAAATTGTTGTCGACGATACATTCAAAATCAGTTGAAAATTATGCTGTTGTTTTCCAGCAAAAGTGTGTTTATGAATTAACAACAGTCATGGAGTAACATTATTGCAGTACAAAATTCAGATATTATTGCAAAATTAAAAAGCAAACATATATATATATATATATATA